ACAGACGTAGATCAAGAGAAACCGACAGCCAGGCGGCCAGCAGGCCAGCCAGCTCGCCGACCAGGCAGACGGACAGACAGACAGACAGACAGACAGGCAGACAGACAGACAGACCACGGACAGACGGACGAACGGGCAGACAGTGTGCCAGCCGCAAACAGATACATGCATGAACACACTGGTGCGAGCACACGATGACGAAGAATGATATATCACTCACCTCTACTTCCTATATAGGCGATCGGATCTGTCGGCTTACTGCTAGACCCATATTTGTTGCTTGCTCTAACCGAGATATGGTATACTCGACAGGGGTCCAGTGTGGGAACAGCGATTTTGGTTTGATTAGTGGTCACATTTGTGACCGGTGTTCCGTCTTCATTGGTTATTCCAACTATGTACACGTCCTTCTCCTCCTCGTCCCCACTCGGATCACTTTCATCACTCGGGTCTACAGGTCCCGGTGACCATGTGATTTCCGTCCCATTCATCACCGTCGGATCCGGTACAGCTTGCACATTGCTCGGTCGATTCGGTGCTAAAATGTGCAACATGTTATTTAGTGCTCATTATGATTAGTATAATTGTTATCACTTTTAGTATCATTAGTTGCAGATAAGCGATATTTATAATTGGAAATACCGACATTATGATCATCCTCATCATGGTTTCGCAAGCATGACAAATCACATTTCTCCAAATGTCGAGGATCCCTTTAGGTGAACTGATTTGGCACACCAATGTGTTGTCAATCTTAGTGTCAGTGTGACAATCTCAGTCTGCCTCTGGTTCCGGATATCGGTACGGCGTTTCTCTCACTTGTTCTCCCTATTCTCCTTCTCCGTCTGACTGTGAATCTGATTTTTTCAATACGTCGTTTGCACTATGCAATTGGTTCTTTGTCTTTCTGTCTATCTAGACATGCCCATAGTTCCATGTGGCCGTGGATAGTTTGTTCCGAGTACGTGTGTCTATGTATCTATCATGCTGGCTGGCTGTGTGAGTGTCTTTCTGTTTCTCCCTGCCGCTGCTGCCGCCGCCGCCTCCACCTCCCTCCCCCCGAACCCCCGATCTCTCTGTGCGTGAGCGCTTGCCTGTACGTCCACCTGTGTGCATGTGTGTTTGCGATTTGACATGTGACTATTTGTTCGTTTTACAGTGCCACATACATTGGAGGATACTGTTGAAAATACTCACTCGGTCCGAATGTGGTAGAGCGTGGTTCCGAGTTCGGACCATATCCGTGTTCGGTTTGTGCTTGAGCCACCACGATACATTGTACGCAAGATCGGTTCAATGGGATAGTCTCGGTTGGTGATCCCGTAGTATGGCTGAGAGTGGAATTGTCTGGATATGCGATTGTGATTCGATAGTTTGTGATTGGATCACATGTGTCCATTAGTGCTCCCTCCGCTTCATTGGTCCTCATTGTAACCGTGATTGATTGGTTCCCCTCGTCTGTTTGTGTGTCTGTGTCGATTAGTGCACGATTTGTGTTGTCTTTCAGTGCGGATATGCGCAGTTGTGGCGGGACTGCAAACGCGGTTGTCATTCCCGTGCCCCATGGTTTCCGTTTGTTTCCCAGTTTCCAATCATGGCGTGTGAATGGAACGGTGGGTGTGGGCGTGAGGGTGGGGGTGGGAGTGGGAGTGAATGCGTTAATGAATGCAACGATAGATTTGCCAGTGCTCTCTCTCTCTCTCTCGGTCTGTTTCGTCTATGCTATGTGATAAATTGCAATGTGTATAGGAGAATTAGTGTACTGTGTCAAGCAACGATTGATCTGTGCCAGTTTCATCCTCTTAATTTCACACTGGAGGATAGGCGAGTAGAGAAATGCATATGCAGTAGAAGATTGCATGGTCTCAGTTCGATTAGATGTGATCATTTGTGCATAAAGTGAAAGGCGCGGTCAGCTGAACGAGGTGGAGCTCAAATGGATGGGAGGTGAGTGTTGTATGACCGACTGATTAGTTGGATGAGTTTGGACTGAGATGGTTGGTTGTATGCGTGTGCGGTTGGATGCGGAGAAGAATGGGTGGATGCACACATGACTATATGATATGCACGTATCTGTGTGTGCGAGTGCTTCCGTTCTTTTCAATGTTGAGTGGATGCGAATGGAGTGGTGCGCGTAAACAACCCGCTCTCCTCCTCAACCGCCCACCCCCTACTCCCACACACATACACAAACCCCCGACTACCTGAGTCTACTAATATCTGAGTAGGATTGGAACAACAACAAGATTGGAGAAGCAGAATCACACAGGCACACACAGATATTGGAGGATGGCACTACTGGGACATGATGACGGACACACGATACTCGGCACTCGGCACGCGGACCACAGGTGTGGACAACAATTAGCTTTGGTCAATGAGAAATCGAGATCAAGTTAGTGCTTGTGTGGCGCCCCTTTGCTTGCGTGTTTCCGTGCGATCCTGCCTGCCTGCGTCCGTCCTAGCTTGTGTGCTTAAGTGACCGGGTGTGTTCTGTGTCTTTGTGGGTGTCTATGGGCGTGCGATTGTGATTGTGCGTGCGTGTAGAACGAGACC